TGATCCTAAAATTGAATATAGAAGACTTACTACTAATTCAATAAAAGCAACATGTAATAGCCCAGTAATTCAGAATAAGCAAGTATTTCATGACCTCACAAACATTCACAGACTTCCAATTCATAATATAGTTCAACTTTAATTCGAAAAAATAATATTTTTAAAAATATTTGGCTAATTTTATTGGATTATTATGTGAAACAAAAATATTGATTGACCAATCACAAGATTTTTAACTATGCTCTCATTTACAAATCGGTTATGATCGCCGCCTAACAATTTTCGTGTAACGAATTGTTGATACATTTATTTATTATTATACGCGATTTGCGAATATGAAATATAGATATTCTATTGCAAACATTGGCATACCTTCAGGTACTTGTTATATAAAAATTTATAATTTATAAATAAATGATTATAATTTATAATGTTTTTGGGATAATAGTTGAAGAAGAACAAGAAAATCAAATTGAAAATTTGAGTGATAAATGGGTTTGTGATATTTGTTTAGATTATATTGATAAAAAGGTAAATCGGTTTGAACCTATTAAAGCAATATATATGTTCGTGTGTTGATTTAATAATAATCAGACTGACAACAATAATATCATTTCCATTATTCGCATCTTCTTTAACATTATCAATTTCTTTATTCTTTTAAAACAAAATAGAAACATTATTCGTACCTAACTTGCTTAGATCCAAAGTGTAAAATGGTTTCACATTTGGTTTGTCTTGCTCAAATCTTCTTGAGATGTGAAAGAAACAAAAATATCAAGAAGTTTGAAGATATTCTTGGTAACAATAGTAATATTACAAATAGCGACATTTGTCAAAAAATTGACACTTATTATCTTTTACCAAAATATGGAAATTGTCCTTCGTGTCAAAAAAATATATTATGGGATGATTTGATAAAAGCAATGCGCGAAAGATTTCAAACCAATTTATAATTTATTTATTATTTATATTTCGTCATTTGGTTTATATTTTTTTTCAAAAGAAAAATTCACTATATTTATTGTTATTAAAAAAATGCAAAAAAATACTGCAATAAAGTAATAATTATATGATAAATTTTTCCTGTATCTTAATAATATTTATTTCTTCCTTCAGGACAATGTTATATGATACATATGATATTTCAAATAACTTAAAATTATTGGTTGTTTGCTTATGAAGGTGGAGAATTATATCAACCACTGATCTACAATATTTAATCTGAATTGATTGACAGCATATCAATAAATAACACCTTTTTTTGAAATGTCTCTTCAACAGCTAAAAATTCAAACAGGAGTTGTAAAACGGTTGGCATTATTTATTATAGCTTTTTAATAATTTTTATTATTATATTAATCATTGTTAATCATTCTTAATTAGACTTAAAAAAGATGTTAATTCTTATCAAAAGGAATTAGTACAACAACAAAATCACATTGATAGAATGGTTCAACAAGGTTATAATGAATACGATGTTAAAAAACAGGTATTCATTCTTACTGGAATCAGGTTTAATTATTCGCTGATGATTATTAATTCAATTATTTATCTATTTATTAAACAAATAAATAGAAGGAGGTTTTAGATGAAACTGTGCAGATGATTCCAGATTGTAAAAATCGTCTTAATGAAGCTTATAAAGTGTTGAAGGATTTAGTGGTAAGTAATTTGTTTTTGTTTTTTTTTTCCAATGATGATGATGATTAATTTATTATTATTTTTTTTTTTTGGTAAGAGTAAACAAGATCCATCTTGGGTTGGTACAGATGAGTTAAATAAAGCTGAAGAAACTTTAAAAGAGATTGAGTTAGACAGAGTTGAAGAAAAGGTTGGGTTGAAGAACTCTGATTCTTAATAGAGATTTTTTTGGCAAGCATTAAAATAAAACTAATAATAATCTAATATATTTTGATAACAATAATTAATTATATTTATTTATTATTTTAATGTAATTAATGTAATTATATAAATTTAAGTTTTTATAGTATTAAATTTTGCCAATAAACATTTCTAAATATATCTTCCATCACCAACCAACCAACCAACAAATCAAAATGTATATTTATGAGTAAGCACTTGAACTCTTTTTAGATTTATTATCCTCTTTATACGATTTAAAATGTTCTAATAAATCATAAGCATCTGTTTCAAGACATCTTGTAAAAGAAAGGAATAGAGATTTAAGGTTAATGATGATATAGATTATCTGAGAATTTTTAAAAAATATTTTTTTGAAAAAAAAAGGATATGATAAAAGTGATTCCTGAATTTCGGAAATCGGTACTTTTACAGATTTACAAATTGAACTTAGTCCTTGTTCAAGTTTATTAATATAATCACTATAATAAGAACTATTATTAAAAAGTTCTGGATCCTTTGAAATTATTTCCACGGCATTTAAAAGTTGCTATTTTTAAATAATATTAACAAAAAAAAAAATTAAAATTATAACGATAACAATAACACCAACTACTAATAATGATTTCCCAAAAAAAAAAATACCTGAGCCAATCTTTTAACTAGTGCAATTTTATAATCACTAAAATCATTATCATCCAATAATGTAATATTTTCAGAATTAAGATTATTGTTATTATTATCGTTATTATTATTATTATTATTATCATCATTATCATTTGAAAAATAATCTATATTTTTTGAACGAAATGAACCATAATTTTGAAATGATTTAGGGCTATTCCAACTCCAAATATTATTATCGTCATCTTCATTATTTAATGAATTGTTATTAAAATCTAATGATGTTTTTCTTGAGAATGAGCCAACTCTTTGATGTCGTATATGCTGCGGCTCATCTGAAAATGCATCAATAGCTTTATCTGTAATCGATTTACTGGCTTCAGGAGAAGTAGGTGTGATTGGTGGATCCCAACTCCAAGTATCAATACTTACTACACCGCTTGAAATAGGATCATCGTTTGGTAATGGTATATCGAGAATGGTGGTTCTACGTCTAGATTTCAAGATATGATTTGGATTTTTTGAAAGTGATACTTCTTCTGGTGGGAAAGTCCATGACTTAACAAGATGAAGTGCTAATAATGGACACCCGATCCTATCATAGGCAAAAATAGTTCTTAACACAAAGAAAAACTCGGTTTCTGCCGAGATTTCTGCTGCTCCTCTAAGTGTCTGTACAGATTTTTCTTTTAATTGTTTGTATAGAACTATAAGCGCTGCATCAGGTGAATTTGATGTAGAAATTTGCGATTCTGGCACTGTTTGATCTGCGTCACATAAAGTTTCTAGAGGTAACTAATTTATAATAAAATAATAAATTATCATTAAAAATGATAAAATGATTTATGTTATTTATTATTTATTGAGTAGTTACCATTATAGCTTTTACAGCTTTATCTCGTTGGTTTAGAAACCAAAAAGATAAACTAGCCAACCATCTATCACCAGTTTTAACAGCAAATGGAATAATATGTTCCTTAAAAATACTTGTGAGTACAGGTCCACTATCACCTTAATTTCCCCGAAAAGATATGGACAGATTAAGTTAATGAAACTATACATTGATGTCTATTTCATCATGATCATGATAATACCTTCATAAACACGACAAATAGCAATAGCTAAATGAAAATCATCTAAATATTTCAAACAAACATTTACAGCATCTTTTAACTTATCACCAAGAAGAAAGAAAGCCGCAGCATATTCTAAAAATTCATTTCATGAATTAATTATAAATACAAATAAATAAATAAATAAATAGATTAGTTACCATATCTTTGTTTGCCTAAAAGAACATAAGCGTTTTTTAAAGCAGCAGTTTTCCATTTTGATTCATCAAAATTATTTGCAAGAAATTTCAACATCACAGCTTGTTCCTTATGATGATTGGCAGTTCTCCATAATCCCAATAATAATTTTTTTTTTTTTAAAGCCATATAAAATAATGAACAATCTGTAGGGTCTCTTTCTTCTTTTGCCATATAATGATTACGTGCTATTATTTCCATTTGTTGACGCTAAGATTAAAAAAATTAAATTTGTATTAATGTATATATTGTTTAGGAATTAATATAAATAACATACAATTGTATCAATATTACGAATCCATAAAAAAATTCCATGAACTCTGGCATCTTTCCAAAAGAATTTACCACCAGAAGCCATTGTACTATATTCAATCAATAAATCCTACAACAGCAAGTATTAAGTGTGTATACAGAAGAATATGTAAATCAATTATTAAAGTCATAATGATAATAATCTGCGCGAGATACCTGAGATTCACTATGTAATGCCCAAGCCATATCTCGAAAACTTAATTCTGATGAGCTTATAGCAGATGTTAATTTAGAACGATGTAAGTAATGATATCGACGCATAAATAATACATATCTAACACCGTTTTCGTCTAAACTTCTTTTTTGACTTTCAACCTAAACAAACAAACAAATAAATAAACGTATGTATATATATGTGTGAATAAAAATTCAAAATTATACTTGTATTATAGTATCAACTAAAGCAAGTAATTGTGCTTGTTCGACGTGTGATAAATCTGGAAGTGAAATCGATTTTAATTTTTCACTTAAGAATTCAGCTACTTCTTGGGTAAACTCAAGCGTGGATTCTTGAGATCTAATAAAATTAAAATTAAAATTAAATAAATAATTATTAATAAACATATATTATTTTTAATTATAAAGCATGAAATATGTACCCGTCATCATCACTATCTTCATCAAATAAAAGGCTGTAACGACGTGTCTTAATAGTTGATGTCGTCTTTAAACAAAACGAAAAATCATGTAAATTATAATTAAAAAAGGTGACAATCATTATCATTAATAATTTAAACTAACTTTGTCTTCTCCAAATAATTTATCAAAAGGCATGGGAAGAATTGTTGCAATTGGTTTATCGTAACTTAACAATAACTTTATATATTTATAAAGATGTGCAAGTATCTGTTTAACAAGTTCCATTCTACCTATTTTTGTTAATAAATAAATAAATAAATAAACATAATGATCTAATTATTTAATTAAAAATAAACTCTGCTTAAACTCTGCTAACCCCATAAAATATGTTGTATCAATAATGTTGGATGATGATGAGGTAATGGTCCATTTAAATAGTCGACAACATGAAACAAAGTTGGATATTTGTTAACACCAGTTATATTTAACACTAAAATTTATTTAACATTTGGAAAAAATCATTAGTTTATTAGGAAAATAAATTATTATTATCTATAGTTTAATGAAATAACATAATATATTACCTTTATTAAGGTCCTCTCTACTTAACCATTTATTGTAACAACGTAATTGATTACCATTAGCAACAATAAGTGAGCCTTGACTTCCCCATGATATAGCAGAAATTGGTAACAATATCTCTCTATTTATTCATCATAATTAATTAATTAGTCAACTATGTAAAGTTATTTTTATTATCAATGTGTTAAGATATTATTACCAAGATCATTCTTACAATAAAGGAAATTTCAAGCGCATTTAATTATAACCAACATGACTTTTTACCCAATAAAATATACTTGATAGAAATGATAGCGTAAAACAGTAAATCCTAAAGTCCCTTCTTTACTTTTCTTTGTTAGTTTGGTCTCTTGCTTTACAAAACTCCTTAAACTGCTTATTTAACAGCCGTATGTTTACAACAATTACTTTCTAAACCTTTGCTTTATACCAAAGCAAAAACCTTACTACACTGCGCTGGTTAATCAACATTGATACCAAACCTCGGAGTTTTATACCACTCTGATAACCAAGGATAATTAAACCCTACTGTTTAATTTCCGACTACAAAATTGTTTATTAACAAGAATATTTTATTTCATTAAAATTATGAAATATTTATTACAGAACGGATTATTTGTAAATAGATGATGTATATTTTTATACTATTTGAAGACATAAATGCCTCCGGCTTCTTTATTTATTATATATATTAATTAATTATTAGTTATAAGCATATAATTATATCTCTCATATGTGATTTTTGAAGGCTAAAGCTGTCCTAAATTCACAGGGATAGAGATATGTGTAACCTTTTGGAAGTTGTAGTGCTGGTCTTAATTCTTGTTAACATTTTAAAAAAAATCGATGTGTTAAAAAAATTTTTTTTGGGAGCACAACTTCAACTGCGGCGATTAAATCCGTAGAAAATCGAAACAAAAGAAAAATTTTGATTTTTGAGACTAATGTTTTGTTTAACAGATTATTGTTGCACACAACTACACCATTATAAAATTGACATAAATTGATATTTGAAACTTTAAAGGCTACTTTACTAGATCTTGCATTACAATTATCAATCAAATCACAAAGTATTTTTCTTGAATTTTGTGGAATTCATGAGCATTAAGTGTGATAAGAATCAAAAAAAAAAAAAAATTAAAAACTCAGAACATGGTTGCCAAATCTATTTTCTGGTTGTAATATCAATTCCTGGATCAAATTCTTGTTTAATAATCAATAATTTTGTTAGGATAAACTACTCCATATATGATTATTATCAGAATTATAAATAAATTGTATTTATTATGTTTATTTTTTACAGATTATTTGAAAAACTTCTAATTCATCAAATTTGCTACCATTTACAATATTGATGTCACTATAAGTTTTATTTGGGTAACTAGAAATAGTACCACCATCATTAAAATAAAAATCCCAACCATTACCAAAAACTGATAAATTAGAAGGATGACAATAAATTGCATACTCATAATTATTATTAATAACATAACTGAATTGTGCAGTATTGATATTATTTCTATTACTAATATTAAAAATGAAACTTTCAGTTGTATTTTTATATGCTCTATTTCCATTCCAATTTAGTGGATTATAACCACCAACTATTTGCTCTGAGTTTTGTATTTTACCAACTGAAAGAGTTTTGTTAACATTATCACATTTTTGATGGAATGTAGCTCCATTTAAACCATCTCTGCTACTACGATATAGAAGTTTGAATTCATATTTGACTTCCTTGAATGAAGTGTATGGTGAACTTTTTCTATCAATCCAGCTTGCAAAAAGCAAAGTAAGGTTTTGATTGATTGTCAATGATTCAAGTGTTGAGTTCAAATTTGAAATTCTTGATGGTAATAAATTCAATGTTTGTTGTCTGTCTGGAAATAAATAATAATGTGAAATATCCTTCCATAAAGTCCTAGGAAAAAGTATAACATATGGTTCAATTTTATTAAAAAAATCATCTTTAGAAATATCCTGAAATCTTATTAGAGAAAAAAATTCTTTTAATGTGTTGCCCAAATCACCAAAATTTTGTAAGGACCAATCTTCAACATTGATATTATTGATTTCAGGATGCTTTGCCAATCCCCATTTAAGCATGCTTTCCCAAATAATTATCTCATCAACAGAAAAGTCATCTCTTTTGAGAATTTCCAATAGAATTGGTTTTTCCAATGATTTAAATTCACTTGATTCAAATAATTTTTCACTGTATTCACAAAATTTTTCCAAATAGATATTTTTCAATTCATTAAAATTTTCATTAGCATAAATCAATTTTAGAATTTTAACTGGATCTTCTTTTATATAATCTTCATAATTTTCAATAAAGTATTT